TGTGTGTGTGTGTGTGTGTGTGTGTGTTATTAGGCCACTTCTCAGTTGCTCTGTATGTTTTGCTTTAAAAGTTCTGATTCAGCACACTTGATTTATAACAACTGGGGGACTTCCATTACCAACCGAGTTGTTCCTGCTTGTATTGGTTTCTGCATGGTGGCCTGTGATCAACTCATTACCCTCCTTCTCGCTTTGCAGCCCTGGAAAGATGGGCTGCTCATGGCTGCCAGGCCTGGGACACATGGAAACCCATTTCTCTGACCATTTAGGGGCCTTGTGCCCCAGAAAAAGCATATGGATAGTACTTGAGCCTCAGGCTAGCTATTTCCTTTTTGCTTTATTTACTCCATTTTTGCTAAAAATGGCATTTTAATTAGCATAAAACAAAATACAAAAAGAATTGTACTTTTAGCATCTTACATTTTAGTTAATTGACCATTTAGCTTTAATGCAGATGTTGCAGTTCTAGAGTTTAAGTGTCCTTCAACAGTGATCTTTCGATTTTCTCAGAAGTAATGGCTGACAGAGGAAGATGGTAATGTAAGCAATAGTCATTTGTTCCTGAAAGAGCCAATCCTAATACAGCCCTAAGCAGGCATGCCCGACCCTCCGAAGAGAAGCCGTCCTGCACTGTCTGCAGGGGACAGCTCTGCAGCCGGCCTAAGAAGGGGCAGTCCCAGATCCAAAGCGAGGCTCCATCAGGAAACATGGGAGAGCGCACTTCCACAAGCAGCCAGGGGACACGGGAGAGCGCACTTCCACGAGCAGCCAGGGAACACGGGAGAGCGCACTTCCACGAGCAGCCAGGGAACACGGGAGAGCACACTTCCATGAGCAGCCAGGGGACACGGGAGAGCACACTTCCACGAGCAGCCAGGGGACACGGGAGAGGTGCACTTCCACAAGCAGCCCAGAAGCCAGATGGCCTGGTGTGAGCTCCTCAGGCTTTGTCCTCCCTGGTCATCTTCCTTCACGTTCCAGAGAGTCCTCTCTGCAGTTAGAATGCTCTTTATGCTCAGTGAATACACGTTACTTCTCTTGGCGGGAACCTTGCCCTTGCCTTTACCACAGTGATAGCCACCGGTGGGTGACACTGTAGACCTGCAGTTATGCTGAGAGCATCTGTGGGAGATCCCCTCCCGTCTAACGCGACCCTTCTCATAAATTCACACGCATGTGCCTGAGCTCCATGTTTTCTAACAGGCCTAGAGTGCAGCAGGAGAGCCTTTCCCCTGCCCTTTGTGTTTGTCATTTTGGTGAATTACTGAAAGATGGCACTTCTGCCCTGAGGTCAAAGTTCATTTAAACAGAAAGGATTATCCTTTTGACCCAGGACCACTTGATGACACATTCCTCCATTTGCCATGAATTGTTTTTGCAATATTTGTCAGATATTAGTTAACATTGTGTGTGTGTGTGTGTGGTTTCCACTAATCTTGCTTGTCTGTTTCAAGGCCAGTGTCACACTGCCATGATTGCCATCGTGATTTTAGGTTTTGAGCTCAGGAAGAGTCAGCCCTCCAGCTTCATTCTAGGACCTAGACTACGTTGGTCCTTCTTGTGTTTCCATAACAATTTTATAATTTGCTTTTCAATTTCTACATCAAAGCCTTCTTGGATTTTTGTTTTGATTGAGTTACTGATGAATGTGTAGACCAGTCTGAGGAGAACCAGCATTTTAACAATTTTGGGGCCTGGGAAGGTGCTCAGTGGTAGAGCGCTTGCCTTGAATGCCTGAGGCCCTGGGTTCGATTCCCCAGCACCACATAAGCAAAAAGAAAAAAAAACGGAAGTGGCGCTATGGCTCAAGTGGTAGAGCGCTAGCCTTGAGCTGAAGAGCTGAGGGACAGTGCCCAGGCCCAGAGTTCAGGCCCCACGGCTGGACCCCCAAAAAAAAAACAATTTTGGATCTCCCACTTGAAGAATATAGTGTGTGTCTCCACTCACTCTCATAACCTTTTGCTTCTCCTGGCAGCGTTTACATCATGCATGTCTTTTGTCAGATATAATGATAAATGTTTCACATTCTCAGTGCTACTATAATTGTTCTATTTGTGTTTAGAGTTTCCGTTGTCTGCTGCTGGTCTATGAAAGCATTGGTTCTAGCAGCTTTCTAGGAGATGCTGCTGGGTTTTATGACACATGGCCATGCTGTTTCTGCCTGTGAAGTTTGGCTGCCATTGATTTCCTTCACCCCTGACTGCATGGATGGGACTTTCCATAGGTGTTCAGAGAACTTCCTTGTCCGGTGTGTGATGGTAGGGGAGAGAATTCAGGTGTTCTTTGCTTTTTCATCGATGCCTTGGTGGCAGTCTAAGAAAGTTTCTATTTCCAGTTTGCTAAGAATGCATAATGAAGAATGGATATTAGATTGTTTTCAGTGCTTTTTGTCTGTTCTGAGATGGTCATTTGGTTAATGTCTTTATTTGTTAATATGGTGACACTGGTGTTTAAAAAAATACTAAACCAACCTTGCATTCCTGGGAAACCTGTTGATTGTAGGGCTTGAACTCAAGGCCTGGGTACAGCCCCTGAGCCTTTTTGTGCTCTTGGCTAGTGCTCTACCACTTAAGCCACAGTGCCATTCCAGTTTTTGAATTGTTAATTGGAGATAAGAGTCTCACAGGAACTTTTCTGCCCAGGTTGGCTTTGAATCATGATCCTCAGATGTCAGCCTCCTGAGCAGTTAAGATTATAGGTCTGAATCCCTGGTACCCAGCTAGGCTTGATTTGTAGGGGGTTTGGTCTGTAGTTTTGTTTTAATGTCTTCACTGGACATAAAATGTGCTCTGATGCACTTCTTCCTCTCCAGGAAGAGTTCATGTAGAGCTCACAGCAATGCTTAAGTGTTGGTTAGAATTCACTAGTGAAGCCATTTGGGCTTGAGGGTTTTTTTTAATGAGATATTATCTAACTACAATTTAAATTTCAGTAACAGGTGTAGGACTATTTCTGTTCTTTTTCTCGAGGAGGCTTAGTGATTTATGTGGCTCTAGGAATTTGGCCGTCTCATCTGACTTGTGGAGTCCGCTGATGTGGGCGTTCACAGCCACCCTGTCATCTTCCTAGGGTCTGTGGCACCCTCCTGACATAACTTCTTCCTGTTCCTTAAACTGGGGACCTGCATTTCCTTATCGGTGTTGCTAGAGGGTTATTCTCTAAGAATCAAGCTTTGGGTTCATTGCTTTTCCCCCTCTTATTTTCTGTTTTATAGTTCAAGGATTTCTACTTTGAACTTCCCATTTCTGCTTACTTGTTACCATTGTCCCGGCTTTGTTTTTTTAGGTGTTAGCCGCAGAGTGGGGTAAGGCACACTGGATGGGAGGTCCTGGCTCAGCCGTCTCCCGGGCACGGTTGGGGCAGCAGGCACTGGCTGGTGGTGCTGCCGCCACCACAAGCAGTGAGTCCGTCTGCAGGACGGCGTTTTTGCTCAGTGCTCACCCTGCAACCCCCCTCCACTGTGCGCTGTGCCAACCTGGTGCCCATCCCTCCCTCCCTAGGGCGGACAGGGGCTTGGTGTCACCCCATGGTCCTCTCTGTTTCAGGCATCAGCAATGCCGAGGCTCGGCAGCCGGGGAAGGCGCCTAACTTCAGTGTCAACTGGACCGTGGGTGACTCCGCCATTGAGGTCATCAACGCCACAACTGGGAAGGACGAGCTGGGCCGGCCGTCACGCCTGTGTAAGCACGCGTTGTACTGTCGCTGGATGCGTGTGCACGGCAAGGTACTGAGCCGCCCCGCCCCGTGCGGCTTCCCCGGGCCCCTCCCGCCCCCCCCCTCCTGGGCTCACCTGCCATCCTGTCACCACCAAACTATTGCTAGCTCCAAAGCATGCTCCTACGCTGGGCACCAGTGGCTCACACCTGCAATCCCAGCTAACTGAGAGCTGAAGAGTGCGGTTCAGAGCCAGCCCAGGGAGGAAAGTCCGTAAGAGTCTTATCTCCAACTAACCTCCACGCTTGGCTCAAGTGATAACACGCTAGCCTTGAGCCACAAAAGCTCAGTGGCCAGGCCCTGAGTTCAAGCCTCAGGACTAGTAAAGACAAATGCAAACACCAAAAAAATACATGGCCCTGGCTGCACACGTCTAGGACTGCGTCCAAGACAGCATGCGCCCTCCCTGCCGCAGTCAGACCTGCTGCCTTCCTTTCTGGCCCCGTGTGAGGACACTTCTCATTCGGGTTCTGGAAGTTGCAGACGAGGAAGGGCCGGCCATCTGCCCTAGCACGTGCTCCCAGCTCCCACTCAGCTGCCCTCCATTCCAGCTCAAAGACTTTTGCTTTAGCTGCAAGGCCCTTTCCCCATGACCCTTCCATGACCCCGTGTCATTAGTTTTTATCCACTCTGAGTCGAGTCTCTGAGACCAGCACAGACCCCTCCCTGCCCCCGAGGGTGGCCCCCCTGTGGCTGACGCCCCATCTTCACATGGAGTGGGGCACCCCAGTGCTTCTGGGTCCCCAGACCCGCCCATAGCGGCATGGGCTGCTGCTTGGGGCAGTGCCTGCCCGGGCGCCATCCCCGCCTCCCCTTAGATGCCGGCCGAGGTTGTTTACACTGTGGGTGCTGCAGGCGCCCACTGATGCGCACTCTGCTTCTCCTGCAGGTCCCCCCATACTTGCTCCGCACCAAGATCCTGAAGCCCACCACCTACCACGAGTCGAAGCTGGCGGCAAAGGAGTACCAGGCTGCCAAAGCGCGCTTGCTTACGGCCTTCATCAAAGCGGGGCTGGGCGCCTGGGTGGAGAAGCCCACGGAACAGGACCAGTTCTCTCTCACGCCCTGAGCAGGGCAGGCGCAGAGTACAGGGCGGGCCCAGGGGACTGCAGCACCGGGCATGCTCCCCAGAGCCCCACGGGAGCTCACCGCAGAGGGCACACCGCTCGGGGAGGGTGTCGGGGGCCTGGGACCGCCGGGCACCCAGCTTTGTCCCCAGCGCTCCACGCCCAGCCAGGCTGGCGTGGGGAATTGTGGGGCGCCAGGCATCTCACATGTGAACCGGGGTAGGTGTGCCATGGGGCGCAAGGGGCCGTGGGACCCACACCGCCCCCCGCTGCCCCCGCCCCATACTTCCTCCCCTTGAGCCGTACAGTGACTGCTTTCTATCTCAGTTTACGTTAGAAATTGAGTCCTACTGCGTAGGGCTTCCTTAAGCTTAGGAAAATAGAAATTACTTTGTGTGAAATTCTTGACTAATTTATTCAGAGCTAGGAATGAGTTTATAAAATAAGAAGTAATATGTTGCATACTTTAATTGCAAATGCATTTATCCGTGGAGGAGGTGGGAGCGTAGAGTAGGAAGTGGAACCGGAAGAGAAGGACGCGTGGGTCCGTGCACAGCCCTCCACCCTGTGTGTCCACAGTCAGGAGGCCACACAGGCCTGGGAGGACTGTCCCCAGCCCGCGCAGTGCGGGCTGTGTGCACAATGACCCGGCCCTACCTATAGCAGTGACTTTGTGTCCTGCAGACTCCTAACGCAGGACCTGCCATCTCAGCTGCTTCTAGAAGCTTCTGTGTGCCTAGTTTGGGTCATATCATGGAAATCTTTTCTCAGTTTACTTCTAAACCCAACACTAAACACATGCAGAGACCTGTACTGGCCTTCTGTTCGGGGCTCTTAACCGTGTTTGGCTTCTGTGGACAGAGGTGACCGGGCAGGGCTGCTGCACAGAGCTGTCTCTCCCTCCCTGCACCTGCCTCAGGGTCTGTGGTAGGAACGAGGCCTTCACAGGACGGAAAGAGAAGTATTTAAGTAGATTCTCATTTTTTGAGCATACCATGGAAGGAATATTTTTTAAGTTATTCTTTATAGAGTTATCAAAGACATTTTTTAAAAAGCATTCAGAAGGAAGCTGGTGAGACACTGCTAGCAGGCCGGGCACAGCGGCAGGGCGGAGGCCTCCTGGGGCTCGGACCTGCTGCTCAGCCCCCGCTGGCGTGCGGGGTGACCGGCAGGGCGGAGGCGGGCGGGCAGCCAGCTCAGGCCGCTGCATGGATGCCCAGAGACGGCCTCCAGGTGCCTTGTAGCTTCCACTCAGGGTTAGGGAGCGCGGAGGGAAGGCCGGCCGCCTGTGTGCGCCACGCAGCCTGGGGACTGTGGGCAGACAGGTGCAGACCCGCCCTGGCCGGTGCTGCCCGGTGTGGTGCTGAGTGGGCTTAGAAAAACCAGGCAGCTGAGGAGCAGATGCTGTCTGCCGGGCACGCTCCGGCCGTCACCGCGGGGCCTGTGTGCCTCCTGAGTCGGGAGCTCTGCCGGGGAGCTGAGGCCACACCGGGATCCTGGGGATGTGTTCAGAACCGACCCCTTCACCTCCTGGCAGGGTCGCAGAGCTGGGCGTCCTGGAGGGAGAGGTCAGGCGGTGGAGCCCTCCCAGGCAGACTCCTGAAGGCTCAGAAATAACCAGACAAGTCTGCATTGTTACTCTTGTCTCCTTAAAGGGTACTTTTTCTAGTTGAGATTGGGAGGTGGACTTAGTTTTGAAAGAATATGTGGATTTGGGTTAGAGTCCAGCAAAAATATACCCCATATACATTAAAAACAAAACAAAAACCCCACCCAGTTGTCTGGCTTTACTCTTTGCAGTCAGATGGTAGCTATAATGAACACAATTGCCTCGCAGTGAGGGCTGGGGGAGGGGAGGGGCCGTCCTGCGGGGCTGGCTCAGCGGTGAGAGGAGGAGGGGAAGGCAGCTGGGGTCAAAGGACTGCTTCCTCAGGCTCAGGCAGGAAGGAAGGCTGCCACGCAGCCCGGCCTGTGCAGGGGAGCTGCGCTGGGACCTGATGCACTAATCGCACCGACACCCAGGCACAACTGCACCGCGGTCGCATGGGGGGGGGTCAGCATCCCTGCAGGGAGTCTCAGGTCTCAGGTTGGGTGACAGGACAGGTGTGCTTAGCCAGGGCTGTTGCAGTTGGATTGCCCTGGGCAGGGCTGGGTAGGCGTTGTGCCCAGAGCCTCATCACCTGTCCACGGGTCAGGAGGTTCGCCTTCCAGCGAGGGACACCAAAGAACCGGTTTTCATTCCAAGTCCATCTTTCCCTGCGTGGGGAAGGTCTTGTCATTGCAGTCAGTTTTGTTTTCAAGTGTGTGAGTGTCATCTCATAAGGCCTCGCTGTCTCTGGAATTCATTTTGTTCGACATACTCACTCACCTCAGGCTGTAGTTGCTGCTTTCCTTCAAGCTCCCTTCCATCTTGTCAGTTGACGATGGTGCGCCAGGGCTGGTGCCTGTCCTCACCACGTGCACAGATCTGAGGGCAGTGGTGTGGAAAGCCACGGCTGTCCGTGCTGTGAGTGGCCCTGGCCACTTCCACACTGCACACCACAGCTTCCAGCTGTGCCCAGTTGTGACTGATCTAGCAAGAGACGTGTGATGAGTTTGCCTTCCCCTCCCCCTCCCCCGCCCTGCCAAGCACATTGGGATCTGGTCTAGATTCTTCTCCTTCCTTCCCCCCCCCCCCCCCGCCCTGCTAAGTTCTGTGAAATTCTGGAACTTCTTTTGCACCAATCCCAAACTCCACACGTGGAAAGGGCAGAAGGCCCGTAAACGTTTAGGGTATGCAGCTTTGTGAGTCCTTGTCTCGTGCCGTTGTGTGGTGGCTGCGCCGCTCTGGCTGTCCACACTGGGTCCGGGGCTCACATGGTGCCTGGGAGAGGAAACGGAATTCCTACCCTGCAGGGCCGGGTGGATAGAGATGGATGGGTCTGACCCCGTCTGGCCAGCATGTCCAGTTGCTCACCTCCAGAAGATCCTGTTCTTGCAGCTGTACTTCCTGCTTACTGTCCGGGGTAAGACCCCAGCAACACTTGCTGTGGCCACAGCGTGGGCTTATGGTGTGCTAGGGACCCAGGGGCCGTTCTGAATGGAAACACAAACGTTTAGAAGCACAGTCTGTGGAATGTCCGCTTGCTGCTCTAGGCTTTGGGTTACCTGCTTTTAATTTGATTTTAGAATTTGGATACTTTATATGAATGTTATTCAGCCAAGAAACTTGTTGCTAAGATACAATCTTCAGTGTTCTCTGTATGTATATTTCTGTATATACCACACGTTAACCTGCATGAGCTTCCTCTCACTGAGGCCAGCCAGACTGAGCATGAGACGCTGTCACATGTAGACAAAGATTCAAGATGTCCTCAAATAAAGAATAAGATATTTCACTACTATGGTGGTACAGAGAGTTTCTTTCCCTTTTAACACCTCAGGCTGTAGTTGCTGCTTTCCTTTCAAGCTCCCTTCCATCCTGTCATTTGACGCTGGTGCGCCAGGGCTGGTGCCTGTCCTCACCACGTGCACGATCTGAGGGTGATGGTGTGGAAAGCCACGGCTGCCCATGCTGTGAGTGGCCCTGGCCACCTCCACACTTCTCCACACCACAGCTTCCAGCTGTGCCCAGTCCTGAAGGCGTGATCAGACTTCACTAAGATTGAAGGTGTGATCAGACTTCACTAAGATTGAAGGTGTGATCAGACTTCACTAAGATTGAAGG